TTTAACTATTAAATACATCAATGTTACTCCCAGAATCAATATATTTTTATATACTAATTTAGATTCACTTTTCGCGAAGTTTGACGAATTTGTATGCACAGTGCAACTTTTTAAACCAGACATTATTTGTATTGCCGAATCCTGGCTTAAACCCTCAATTCGCGACTCCTCTGTTAACATAAATGGATATACTATATATCGTAAAGACAGAGAAAATCGTGCGGGTGGCAGTGTATGCATTTATTTATCTTAAATTATTACCACAACTTTCAAAATTAACATTAAGCTATTAGATATTACCGGAATAGAAGCAATTCACTTATATATATATATATATATATATATATATATATATATATATATATATATATATATATATATATATAGAGGTTCCTACAGCCTCTGCCGTTTCTCGCATTTCGACCGCCATTGTTTTCTGTCCATCCATTCGTCTTCTCTGATGGCTCTATCTCTCATTATGTGCCGTAAATTTTCTTCCCAGGCAACTGAAGGCCTTCCCCTTCTTCTTCTTTGTTGTGGTATGTAATTTAAAGCTTTCTTTGGCCATCTATGTTCATTCATTCGTTTCACGTGACCATACCACACTAGTTGTCTCGTTTCAATTCTATCTACACTGGAATATACAGTATTTGTCCTCCTTCTAATATCTTCATTCCTGATGTGATCTTTTTTGGATATACCACACGCTCTCCTTACAAAATCCAATTCACTTATCTGTTACTAAAAATTCTTTTGCATTAATTTAGTATGTATATATCGTCCACCTGTTACACTATTTATACACGACAATGTTTTCTTTACAAAACTTGAAGAACTATCATCTCTTGATAATCTTATCATTACTGAAGATTTTAATTTCCTAGAGATCACTTGAACAATAACTTCATTATCTGACGCCGAAAACGCTCATAATTTATTTAAAAGCTTTGCAGTAAATTCGAACTTGATACAACTCATTACAAAACCTACTAGATTTAAAAATAATAACCAACCTTCTGCTTTAGATCTAGTTTTTATTAATGACGAACAGCTGATTTCATCTATCGAGGTCAGTTCTTCAATACCAAAGTCAGATCATGAAGTTATAACGGCTCACATCCAGTTCAATCAAATATTACCCCGCAAAAATAATATTGTAGCATTAGCTACTACCGTCTTTTCTGAAGTTGACACTAAACTCTCTCAAATCGACTGGCATTTATTTTTTGCAGTCTTAAACGACCCTCATTAATGTAGTCCACATTATATAATTATAATGTAGTCCACAGTCTCGATAAAGTCCGGAATATAATTTCTACAAATACCACCTTTCATAAGATTGATAAAAACAACCTTAAACCCTGGATAAATCGAACAGCAATTATACACATATTAATCACAAACGAAATATATGGTGGAAATTTAAACACACCGGGCTTCTCAGCGATTTTCAAAGCCATCGCAGATTTTCTAATAACTTACAAACATCTGTAAAAACCCTCAAGACAAAATTTTAAAGCAAACGTTATTAAAAGTGGTAACATTAAAAAAGCCTACAAATACATACGTTCCTCCTTGACGTCTAAAGTGTCCATTCCTCTACTTTAAAAACCCAACCAAACTTTATGCTCTTCTGACAAATAATCTCCCGAAACTCTCTCTTTAGAATTTTCACAGGTTTTTGCTAAAGAGTCGAATGATGGCTATCTACCTGCTATTAATTGTAATCGTGTCGGTGCATCCTTGCAACAAGTTGAATTTACAGTGTATTATGTCAAACAACACTTATTAAACTTCGCACAGCCGCTTCACATGGTTTTGATAGTTAACTGTTAAAAAGGTGCGCAGACACGCTGGCAATACTCTTAACGTTAATTAGGCAAACTTCTTTCATCCAGAACTCCTTACCCCCCCTAGTTAACAACTAGCATCTGTCACCTCTATTTAAAAAAAAAGGCAACAAACTCGACCCTAACAGTTATCATCCGATTCGTTTGCTACCGGTAGTTGCCAAAGTTATGGAATCCATTATTTCCGAGGAGATGACCAAATTTCTTCTTCAGGAATATGTTATTCCAACACAACAACATGAATTTGTCTCTGGTCGCTCTACTCTAACCAATCTCCTAAATTGTGTTAATGACTGGACGTCATCCCTTAACAGTTCGCAGCTAGTCGACGTTGTGTATCCAGATTTCTCTAAAGCCTTTGAACGTGTACCTAAACGCAGACTTCTACATAAGCTAGAACATTTCAGAGTTCGCGGTACTTTACTTCGTTGGATAGATGATTTTCTGACAGATCGACATTACAAAGGTACAGTTGGCGAATATTTCTCACATAACAGGTTAGTGGAAAGTGGAGTGCCTCAGGGTTCTGTCCTTGGACCTCTGATTTTTACGTTTATACCAGCGACGTTTCTTATTATGTCTCACGTAAAATATCGTTCTACGCTAATGAATGAATGAACAAAAATATATAGCAATCCAATCACAAACCAGCTAACCCTCCAAATCGACCTGGACTCTATTTTAACTTGGTGTTCCCAGTGGTTACTACCCTTAAATGCGGAAAAATTTGTAGTGCTTCGAATTGGTAAAAATAACCCGCTTGTGCTGTACTTTGTTAACGGGCAGCCATTAGATTCTGTATTCTCGTATAATGAACTTGACGTTATCGTAAACAGCAGCCTAACTTGGTCAGATCATATTACCTCTATTTGTAAATGTGCGAACTCAAGACTATCTTATTCTGAGGTGTTTTTCGAGAGTTTAAATGCAATCATTCTGTAAACGTTACCATGTTTACGTAAGACACATACTTGAATACGCTGGACCAACGTGGTATTTTGATTTGGTTGGAGACAAGACTTTGCAGGAAAACGTTCAAAGAAAAGCCACGCGAATTCTTTTGAAACCGAGAAAAAAACCGTCTTATGCAGAAATTCTTAGTATGGCTAATCTAACTTCTTTTGAACTTCGCCGACAACGTAGAGACTTAATTACAACATTTAAAATATTAAAATTCAATTTTGGAAATCTCGATAAAATGTTTATCATAAATCAAAATGAACGGCCTCAGAGCCGTTCTTTCAGACTTTAAACTAAAGAAAGAAAACATCTCTACAAGATTAATACAGAACTTTCTATCAAATAGAGTTTTTGAGTAGTGGAATAACCTTAATGATGACATTGTCTCTGCTCCCTCTATTAAACCGTTTAAAAACAGACTTGACCGTTTTATATTATAGTTAAAATATTGTTTGTTTTTTAAGCCAAAAATTGTAACTTTTGTAATTTTTTTTTGTAATATTGTTATTTACTAGTAGGTAATTAATGAAATTTCTTTGTTTTTAGGCATAATAGGAGCTTGTTCCTTTGTCCTCGCTTAGGTATAATAATAATAACAATGTCTTACGAGATAGAACAACGAAGATACAAACAAGATAGCTCGAGTGCTGGCAGTAGTGTATTGACTTCCAGCGAACCCAGGGTAAAAAGACGTAGGATTAAAGAGCTGGACCTTAAAGGTTAGTAATTGTTTCTTTTGCATATTGTATAAAATGTGAGATTTTATTTACCGAATATGTCAAATCGTCACCCAGGGAGTTTTTTATTTACCACAGGTATAACACCAAAACGAAACCCAAGATTGTTTCTCAATAGGCAACAAAAAATTAGAATCAAAAATTAAAAAAAAAATCATAATAGAAATTGTAGAATGAATGAATCATCAAAGATTTCTGCAAGATTTGGTGTCGGATTGGGGCGTAGTTGTTGGAAATCTCAAAGACTTTGATTTTCATGGGGACATTGGTTTGGCCAAAGATGTACAAGATATGAAAGGTGAAGGTATATTTGCTTACTATCAGTTCTTTCCTGATAAGGAGGTAATAAATACTTGAGTAACCAATTGTACGCGGAACAAACCATAATAAAAACCGTTACGCAAAAGACCCTCATGCCGTTCTATAGTACAAAAAATGTATTGTTTTTTGGGTTTTTTGTCATGGAGAGGCTTAGACATTAAACTGAAAATCACAGATTTCTGGAAAGATTCTGAAATTTATTGGTTTGATGCAGCAAATTGAATGTCTCGAAACTGCTTTGAAAATATTTTGAGAATGTGACATTTCATTAACAATGAAAAATACGAAGAAGAAGATCCACTTAGCAAAATTCGATTACTGGTTGAGACTCCCTGAATGAGAAGTTCAAGAAAGTTATCCTTCCTGACGAAAATGTCTGTACTTATAGACGAAACAATGATGGTACCCTTCCGATCGCACACAATTGTTTGACAATATGTCAAAGCATTTGTCAAATATGTTTGAATTAAGCTTTTTAAATTATGTCTTACTGGAGGGTATACCTATCATTCTAAAATACTACGGAACGAAAAATCAAATAATATGCTGGTAGCCACTACGATTGGTTTTGAACTTATGGGCGGGGGTCTTGATAAAGGCATGAGTCTGTATACCGATAACTGGTATACCAGCACCGAGTTAACACTAAAATTACTTGAAAGAAAAACTTAACTTTTCGGCACACTCAGAAAAAATAGGAAAGGAATTTCAAAAGAAATTTTGCCAACAAAATTCAAAAAAGGCAAAACTATAGGCAGAGAGAAAAATGGCATAGTTCTATTTAAAACATAGTTCTATTATAAACGCTAGTTTAAGTTCCAGGCATAATAAATAAATTTGAACCAAATCAGTTGTTAAGTATAACAAAGCAAAAACGTTTATTTATCTGACCAAATGTCGTCAAAATGCTTGTTAAAAAAAAATAAAATCCTTTAGACTTTCAACTGCAATGTGGACTAAAACACAGATTAATTATAACTGAACAAAGGACGTTATGCAATATGCTACAAAAATATAACAAATTTATGCTACAAAAATTATTATAATATTTATTTGCAAATGGGATATAAACTTGGCAATGTTGCATTTTCAACCTTAACTTTCACCATAGTCTTGAATGGATTATCAAAACAAACATCTGAGTGCATGGACGTCTGAGTGAGTAATGACAACAATAAAAAGAGAAGGTATTGTGTTTTTATAATAGTTGTTGTTTATTGTGATCTAATTAGTTAAAAATATTTAAAATTCGTTCTGGATTTTGTTTTACATTAAGCAGCTGTTAAAAAGTAAGTAAGTATTTACCTTAAATTAAAGAAAGCAAATATATTATCTAAGTTCTTACGATTATAAATTTTAAAATATGCAGTTTTACTTAAACGTGAAAGAGCACTAAATTTAGTTGTATATACAATTTCTAGTCGGCAATAATGTACCTAGTAAAAACATAATATCCTACAAAGATGTGAAATATTCTCATATTAAACAAGGTTAGGTAAAGGCAGGTACTGTCACATCAAATAACACAACACATTCTCCATTTGACAACGCGGTGTTGCCGATTTCACATTTTTCCAATTAATACTATGATTTTAAGAAAATTTTTAAAAAACTAACTTATTTTTGATTATTTGATACTGAGTAAACTTAATCACATATTAATAAGTAGTTATATTATAGTAAAACAAGGTCATTTTTTGTTTTTGAATAATTGTTATTTTTGTACATGTAACTTAGCCCCTTTCAACAACTTCAAGAAAAATAAAACTTTTTTTTAAGAAATAATGTTTATTTAGCAAAAACTCAATAAAAATGGAAGGGTATAACTTATTTCCGTTTATTTTGTAATTGATCAGTTAACAATATGATTATAAAATGGTTGGTGGGTTTCTGGAATATATTTTAACACTAGTTTAATATAATCTATTTTGGTTTCTCTAATCAGAATCTTGTTCTTATATGCCTTATTTGACGGCGATCTTACGATGCCATCTTAGAATACTCGTGTATAGAAAAAAATCTGTCGAAGAGCTTCAAGTTTCTGATAGAGTTAAAATCCCTATCTGCATGCTAATCCAATTTTCTTGTTGGGGACTGTTTTTCCTTTGTAATTAACATATGAAATGCCTTTTATTCTGCTCTTTTAACATTTTTCTTTACCTATATTGTCTGGCTAAATAGGTCTTGTACCTAAGGCCAAAAAAAAAAAAAAAAAAAAAAACATTTTTCTTATATTCGTCGTCATGGCTCACACCTCTCTTTTTCTGTGTAACTTTGAAGTTAACAGAAGTTATCAGGACAAAGAAAGTATACACAATGCAAAAATGACAGCCTCAATTACTCAGCACAGCAAGAACCATTAAAACACATGATGTTTACTTCGTACGTTGTTGAAAGGAAGCTAGCGACATCGCTTGCCTCTTTTCTACACTAAATGCAGTTTAGAAGTATAAATTATATCCATGCAATGCATAGCGCTTGCTTCCTTTCAACACCAAATGATGCGTATATATAAAGAGAGGATTTGTACTATAACTCGAAACAGAAACGATTCAATTACAAATATTTTTATCGCAATTTTAACTAGATTATTACATATATTTTCTACACAGCGACCTGAAAGATCTATGTTAGTGGCTTTGGAATAGATTGAGCTGGAAGCCTTTCTTAAATATACCGTAAACGAGTCTACTTTGCACCATTTTTTTTTACTTTATTTTGTTTATTGCTGTAAATCACCGTAATTGGGAACAAATTTGAAAAGCTTTTCTGCTTTGCAAAATTTTACCAAGCAAAATCTATGCATTTATTACAAACAAAAATAACAAAAACAATTTAGCGATTTTTCTATACAATTAATTAGTGCGCTATCATCATCATCTGCTCTAATGACTACAGCATATACATGCTCTTCCTCAAAATCTTGTTTTTAAAATCATATTTCTTAGCTTTGTGCCGTCTCCCTACGGAAGTTGGCAATCATAATGGCTATTTTTATTTTTGAACTTGCTGCTCTAAACAAATCAATCGATCTGCATTGATACCAATGAGTTCTGCCTTCGGCCAACAGATATACAATTATGGACAGAATACATTATAAAATTTTTAAAATTTATTGTAAAAATAGTAAAACTTGGTTGATGGCATGTTTTACTGGTGTATATTAACTCATACAGAGAATGGAAAGACTTTCCATTATATATGCTGAAAAAGCGATAAACGCTTGTAATCAACGCTGATCAAATAGAATACCAAAACTCAAATATTTGGGTGTGCAGCGGAAGATAGGACAAAGAAGTACTCTTTTTAGTTTACCAAGCTTTCGTAAATCTTTATTTGCATTCTCAGGGTGCTACAATAAACAGAATTGGTACAAATTACAGAGTAAGAATTACTTTGCATTTTACACCAATTGAGGTTAGTTGTCTTGATGTTTATCAAATGAAATTTCAACTCATTTGATCCCTACAAACGATGGCGAAAACTATCCAAAAATTGATTTTAAAAAACGTTCTTTAACATACTTCTAAAAGTCCTACTTCTAAAATAAGTCTTTTTATCTTTTCTTTTTCAAGAGGTTCAGCTTCTATCAGGTATACTATTACCTTTACATCGTTACCATTTAAGATCTAACGTTCTGTCGTTTTAAGTTGGTAATCTCCCATCTCCCAAATTTGTCTGTCACTGCAACACGCAGCTGTGACAAGCTGTGTAGGTGTGGGGATGACAAGCAATTATCGACCTTATTGTTACTATTAACTTTTACAGAATATGAGCTTAATTTGAGATTAAAAAGTTTAAAACGAAAAATTTACGTTTTGTTTTTGTAAATAGATGGCAGATAATAAGATTTTTAACAGTACCTAAGACATTCAGGCTTATAAATTCTTAATGATCTGTTTTACATGGCAAATAAAATTTATTTTCGAAATTAATGTATTTGCTAGTGTTATAATTAAATATATAAATAAATATAAATGTATATATATATATATATATATATATATATATATATATATATATATATATATATATATATGTTATTGTGATATTTAAAGTCTTGGTGCGCCAAGCCATTAATTAGCTAATTACTTAATTAATTAATTAAAATTATTTAAATGATATGATTATGACTCTATCACACTTTTTAATTCTCTTATCTCAGGGTTAAATTCGTGCTTCAATATCTATGCTATTACATGTGAAAGGTAAGGTCCAAAGAATACCGGAATAATAAAAAACATATATGATCTAACATTATATATTGAAATAAAAATAATGAAATAATTCACACTCAAATGTTTTCAATAAACAAAATCTCATATAATGATTCTCAAAATTTTGTTCTACGTACGTGAACCTTCAAAATTAATGGTACAAACAATATTAATTAAAATCTCAAAATCCCAAATTATTCTAACTCTCCTAATCAAAATATTTATATCCTTTCTAAATTAAGTGTAAAAATGGTGTTATCAATAAAAGAAAAACTGCAGAAAACAAAAATATCTCTCTCTGATGATGAGTGGTCCAAATCCTTGTTCCTTGTAGACTATATTATCTACTCTCAGGCGCTCCCTAGGTAATCAGCAATCTTACAACAAATTATTGCAAGTTTATCGTCCTTAATGATCTCCTTCAAATGCACGAATCGTTCAAATTATGCTAGCTTCTTCTTCTCTCAATAGACTGAATCTCTCGTTGGCCTGAGTGAAAAATGACTCTTGGAATATCTTTTCTTTACGATAAACTGAATCTCTCGTTGGCCTGAACAGTGACTCTTGGAATATAAGTAGAAAAATATGACTTACAATCTTTTACTGGATCAGCTTCTGTCAGATACACTAACTACACGAAAACTCACAAACTTTCACTGCTACTGCTTCCTACCTCTGGGAAACTACCCGAGAAACAACGGCCGTTCGCCTTGCACCCTTGGAAACCAACTGATTATCTTGTCTCTCTCAAAAATCTAGCTAAACTTTCATTCCTACATACCTATCCCCCCTTTTTTAATCTCCGCCAATCAAAGCTCGTCACAATTCTCCCATTTTTTCATTTCGATAACAAACAAATTTTTTACCTATAATTATAAAATTTCCTAAAATTTATTTACAAATAATATTTTTCTACAATTCTTAAAAACTAACAAAAACCTATCTTTTTAAAATCTATTCTATTGTCCTTAATCACTGCATTAATGTATTTGGAAAACCTGGTTCAATTGTCTTTGGATTTCACTTAAAATTATGCGGGTCACTCAGGTATATTATAACAAAGAAAATAATTTATGCATAGCTTACATTTTGTTTAATACAGGTAATCCAAAAATTTAAAGACTTTCCTTCTTCGAAATGTTTGTTGGGTATTATCCTACTTATCTGAATTATTTTAATGTTTTTTGACCTTTGAAATATTTTGAACAAACCAATATTTTTCTCGATTTTACATATCATAACAATATATATATGTATATATATATATATATATATATATATATATATATATATATATATATGTGTGTATATATTTGGTTAAATTCACCAATTCAAAATTTAACAGCGCGAAAATCCTTTACTCCGCTTTTTTCAAGATGGCGGCCGCACAAACTTGATTGGCTTGAACTTAAACTTATACTGACCCACACCCCACATATCATAAAATTGAAAATGTAAAATATATTTCTAATTGTGAAATATTGTTTCAGATAATGTCTAACGAAGACTTACAGAGAGAACTAGAATGTCCAATATGTTTTGACTATTTACAAATTCCGATACGGATGTGTATAACAGGTCACAGCATATGTGATACGTGTAGAAACAAGTTAATCGTTTGTCCTATATGCGAATCTGGGTTTTCTAATGGATCTAATATCTCCCTCGAAAGCATAATTCCTTTACTTAAGTTTCCTTGTAAATTTCGTGATAGAGGATGTCAGAATCTTTTGTTACATTCTGATAGATTAGCACACGAAACAGATTGTTCATACAAAGGAATAAGTAAGTAAAAATATTGTTATGTACCATCAAAAATGCAATTTTCTGGATGCACATGGAATTTTCATTAAGATATAATTTACTATTTTTATTGGGAATTAACCACAATTTCAGTTTAAAATATTTTTATTTTGACGGTTCGATTTTTACCTTAGAAATCGTTTTCCAAATAAAAATTAAACAAATTTTGTTTTATAGTTTAAAAATACAAAAAACATTTTTCTAATAATTTAATTTTCTCTGACTGCTTCATAATTACAATTCAAATACATTCTCGACGGTTCTCGAAATAATGATAATATTCCATAATTTAGCCGTTCACTGTATATCGTGTTGATTAGACTAAAGTAAGCAAAATAATGTACAAAAGTTTGTTTTTAAAAAACCAGAGTCTACTAAAAAAGAGAACTACAAGTAACTGAATGAAAATGACATTGTGATGTACCCACCTAAATTAGATTATATGTTTTCTTAATTTTAATGAATATACCTCTTTCATTTTTAGGCTGTCCTGGATGTTCATTTAACGGCTCAATTACTGATATGGAAAAGCACTGTCGTGGCACACATTCTGTTCAAAATTTAGAAGAATATAACTGTTCCATGTTCTTTTTCGAAATTCTCGTGGGATCTTCAGTAAATGGTATTGTTCAAAAAGATGGCAAATACTTTTGGTTAAAAGCTTTAAAAAGTCCTGAAAATAATATACTTTTTTCTGTCGAGATGGTTGGTACCAAAGAGGAAGCTTCAAACTATAGATATAAACTAATATTTAATAAGGAAATACAAAAAATGTGTTTTGAGGATACTTGCAAACCTTTAGGCTTTACTAATAAACAGTTACTTTCACCGATTAAAAGTTTCAATTTGAGTGTTAGTGATGTCGAGAGTTTTCTAGGGAACGATTGGAATATTAGTATAACTGTAGAAAATATTAAATTAAATCATAAAAAAATTAGTATTAAATTATGTTTATATTTATTATTTTCAATTTTGCTTGTAATAGTACTATATTATATTATTTTTCTACAAAATTGGTTTTCTGAGAACTCAAAAAAATCAATTAAATATAAACATAAACCGAAGAATGAAAGTTATAATTATTTAGTAACGTATTTTAATGATTTTTTATCATCATTTTGGTCGATTCTCGTTATGACTATTATACTGTACCTTATTGAATATTTGATAAAATTTTTTAAAAAGTTTATTTATTATACCTATATTATTTTATATTATATTATAATTTTAATTATTGCACTTTTCAAATTCATAATTACGAATCTGCGGTGATGTGAACATCACCGATGCGCCAATGCAAACTTATTTATATATTAATGACAGTAAAAAATGAGATAAAAAATAAGACATGAATTTTTACTCTATGTCAATTCATCAATGTGATCGTCTTTACGTTTTGGTAAGTGTTTATTTATTTTACAATAACTTTTTGTTATTAATCTTGTATATTTTGGAATCTTGACAAATGCTTGCCGAAACGTTGATTTGCACAATAAAATTTAGTTCGAAATGTATTACTTATTGAGCCAATACCCAAGAAATACTACTTTTATATTATATATATATATATACAGGGTGGTGAATCGTCAAACGGGCCATAGGAACCTCAATGGGAAATTCTAAATTGTTGAATTCCTGCTTCCCTAATTATTTTACACCAAAAGTCATGGGAAACTATTTGTAGAGGACTCAAATATGTATCGAAAACAACTGTTAAAATTATTCTACGACCTAAAGGTATTCCAAAATTTTGCTAAAATATAATACATTTTTCTGTAAAAAAATGTGTATTACGTGTTGCGTTTTGTCATATTATTGTTTCTGATATTTGACAATATTTAAATCAATTATATTACATTTGTCTATGATTTAAATGGCCAAAATTTTGTGATTTATTGTTAAAAAAAAATTAAGTTGATTAAAAAATGTACTCAGTTGAGGAGAAAAAAGCAATAATAAAAATTTTTTATTCATGTTTTATTATAACACTTGTTATAGTTTTATGTTTATAAATTATCATATATTATTATTAGGAATAAAGATCACAGTAACAGTATATTGGAATTCGTTGAATGGTTGTATAACTTAACTTAACATGGAATTAAATTTTAGTGAATTAGAATATCTTACGTTAAATAAAGACCCGGTAGTGTCAGGAAAAGGTTCGCGCTACAACATTATGCGATTTTTCGTCAACTGAGTACATTTATATTGATCGATTTGTAAACAATATAATTTATTGTTCACAAAGTAATAATGTTCATTAGTAGTAGTATTTAGTAAAATTCATTGTTTATAATTTAATCATAAAATAAAAAAATTGACAATTCAAATTGTCAAACATCTGACATAAATATGATAAAACACAAACGTCCTAATATATATTCTTGCATTACGTGTGGCCTAACTTTTAGGGGTGGCCTGAAAAATGTATTATATTTTAGCAAAATTTTGGAATACGTTTAAGTCGTAGAATAATTTTAACAGTTGTTTTCGATACATATTTGAGTCCTCTACAAATAGTTTCCCATGACTTTTGGTGTAAAATAATTAGGGAAGCAGGAATTCAACAATTTAGAATTTACCATTGAGTTTCCTATGGTCCGTTTGACGATTCACCACCCGGTATATATATATACCGGGTGGTGAATCGTCAAACGAACCATAGGAAACTCAATGAGAAATTTTAAATTGTTGAATTGCTGCTTCCCTAATTATTTTAGATCAAAAGTCATAAAAAACTATTTGTAGAGGACTAAAATCTGGATTAAAAACAAATGTTAAAACCGTTCTACGACTCAAATGTACTTAAAAATTTTGAAAAAATATAATACATTTTTCAGGCCACCCCTAAAAGTTAGGCCACACGTAATGCAAGAATATATATTAGCACGTTTGTGTTTTATCATATTTATGTCAGATGTTTGACAATTTGAATTGTCAATTTTTTTATTTTATGATTAAATTATAAACAATGAATTTTACTAAATACTACTACTAATGAACATTATTACTTTGTGAACAATAAATTATATTATTTACAAATCGATCAATATAATGAAATGTACTCAGTTGACGAAAAATCGCATAATGTTGTATTCAGGCAATAGCGCGAACCTTTTCCTGCCACTACCGGATCTTTATTTAACGTAAGATATTCTAATTCACTAAAATTTAATTCCATGTTAAGTTAAGTTATACAACAATTCAATGAATTCCAATATACTGTTACTGTGATGTTTATTCCTAATAATAATATATGATAATTTCTAAACATAAAACTATAACAAATGTTATAATAAAACATGAATAAAACATTTTTATTATTGCTTTTTTCTTCTCAACTGAGTACATTTTTTAATCAACTTAATTTTTTTAACAATAAATCATAAAATTTTGGCCATTTAAATCATAGATAAATGTAATATAATTGATTTAAATATTGTCAAATATCAGAAACAATAATATGACAAAACGCAACACGTAATACACATTTTTTCACAGAAAAATGTATTATATTTTATCAAAATTTTGGAATACGTTAAAGTCGTAGAATAATTTTAACAGCTGTTTTCGATACATATTTGAGTCCTCTACAAATAGTTTCCCATGACTTTTGGTGTAAAATAATTAGGGAAGCAGGAATTCAACAATTTAGAATTTCCCATTGAGTTTCCTATGGTCCGTTTGACGATTCACCACCCTGTATATATATAATATAATATAAAAATATTATATATATATATATATATATATATATATATATATATATATATAATATAATATAATATAAAAATATTATATATATATATATATATATATATATATATATATATATATATATATATATATACAGTGGAATATAATTATTTCCAGCACCGCTCTGAATGGCTTGATTAAGCTGGGGTATACAGTTTACTTTAATTGCTAAAATTCTTTTAGCCTATGAAGTCCGATGTGTAATTAAGATTATCAGTGGGCCTCAAACAGTGGGGCGTTAATATTTAATTTCGATCGCTTGAAAAGTAAGAATATTTAATTTCCTGTATTTTATGTTCAGTAATATTGGATTTTACTGTATCAAAGGCAAATAAAATGAATATAATATCTATAAACAGGGCGGTTAAAAGAAGTGGGACGGAATATTTCAAATAATTGAAATTATTTGTCGGCATCAAATGTTCATCAAGGTCTCTATAAGTCTCTATTTTGCGTAGAGTAAAAATTATACGAATGGTTTTGCATGCAGTTAAATTGGAAAATACTTGCCAAGTTGCTGGTATGTCCAAATTTGAATAAAATACATCAAAGACTTTACTTTCTGCAGACACTGTATTAAATATAACCTTGAAACAAATTGGCAACTCGATCGGTAGCGATTCTTTCCATAAACCAAGAACGCTAGCGTTATCTTTTGTTTTGGATGTATATTTATCATCAAAAATTTTGGCTATACCCCAAACTAACTCAATTGCATTATAGTGGCAATGGTAGGGCAGAAGTCAAAGAACTTCATTGCCATATTTAAGACCCATTTGGTCAGTAACAAAGTTCTTTTGAATTTTGTGTTCTCCTTTTCTTTTCTGTAAACCACAACTTTATTTCTTCTTTTGTCCAGCTGCTTGAAGGAAATCTCTCTTCTACTCTTGAGTTTTAGGATGCATTATCCAAGACTATTATGGATGGTCGCTCCAATTTTTTTAACAAATTTTTTTCAAACCATTCCTCAAAAATATTTGCATCCATATTTCCATGGTAATCACCTGTATTCTTTGTGGACGAAAAAATTAAACTAGCTTCAGGAATAAAACTCTCATCATTTCCAGCATGAAGTATAATGTAGCGTTTACCATTACCGGAACGACTAGAAGAATAACATTTCGTGGTGTCATCTTGCCAAGATGATTTTGACATATTTCCTCTTGCAAAAATCCAAGTTTCATCTAAAAATACAACTTGCCTCGGACTATCAGACATTTTATTGTTCATGCATTTTCTTAAAAAATGCCACCGTTTTAAAACAACATTAGAGAGTTCACACAATACTTGTCTATTATTTGTCTTTTTATATCGAAAACCTAAATGTTTCAACACTCTCCACAAACTTGTTAAACTAATATCACACAGTTCCTTGTCTTTTATTTTTTGCAACACAGCATTAACTGTTACATGTTCTTTTTTTATACATATTATATATAATATTTTTAATTACAAGTTTAATTGACTGATGCAAATCTAAAGTTTTGGATGTTGACGATTTCTCTTGCATACCTACTTTATTTATTTCATGCTCACTTATGTTATTAATTCTTCGGAATGTTCTCTCTGAGATACCGTAAGCATCGCATGTGCGTTTCTGAACTGCCATAACAGATGTCAATGACCCATATTATTTTTTTCTAAATTGAAATAACTTTCGACTTTTAGAACTAAACGCCGTTCTTCTGGAGATAACACTCTACGTTTCGACTGTATTTTATTCTCTTCCAAATTACTTATTTTGCTTTAAAGTACCGCTTGACTACACTACTATAAAAAATGGGTACGTATATACAACTACTACACCCTAAAAAGGACGAGGGTTGTTGTACAACCTCGACGAAACAATCGAACACAAATTATTTAACAGCCAATGGTAAACAAGCATAAACACTGTATTGATTGTGATTGCAAAAACTTTTCACATGTTTTAAATAAGGTTTTTGCTGATTACGTATTTCGTTAAATTATTAAAACACAAAAATACAACCCACGACCATCAATTAATTTTTAACGATAAACAGAAGAGAAATATGATGACGTTTGAATTTGATCTACTTTGTAGTTAACAGAAAGATATTTTAAATAGAATGAATCATTTTTCAATGATTGTGTGTATTTAAGAAATACATTACTAACCAAATTTTTTAAGTGTGTATAAATTCTTAACTGTCTTTTTTCCTGAGATTACAATTATTATGACACATGGTATTTACTCCTTATTTTTCAAATAATATGTTCTTTTAAATACATAACTTTCATTATTGGGTAAACCTACATTATACGATACGTCAGAAGAAATTAAAAAAAAAAAATTAACATTGCAATAAAATTATAATCTAATAAACGATAACTTGTTGAGCAGTGCCGACTGAAACAACAAAGCAGTAAAATGTTATTCATAAAGGTAGTGTAAAATATATAGCCCCTTATCTGGTCCGCTAGTAATAAAGTTACCAACGTAAAGTAAAAAATCCTTTATCGACGTATCAGTCAATAGTTGCATACTCTGGTAGTTATTTCCCTGTAATTTCCAGAGTAATCGGTGCGTTTTAATTTGGTTTGAGTATTCTTACAAACTCCTTCTGATGACGGGTAGACCCAGAAACACGTGTCAGGGAGTGGTAAGAGACTCAAATTAAATCGAAACGCAACCTTCTTCGTATATTTATCGTCCTTACTCGACGCAATGAGTACAATAATGATGGTAATTTATATGGGTAAAATGTTGGTGCATAGTGGAATAGAATTATT